ACCCCCCTACCCAGCCCAGCCCAACCCCTTATTACCGGTTCCGGGTTCTACCGGTCTGGGCCGGTCTGGAACCGGTCCAACCCAGCCCGTTTAACACCTTTACTTAAAATGCATTATTTAAAATTTATGTACAAGATAACGTATGGGTAGTATTTTACAATAACTAATCGTGAAATATTGCAAGCTAGATAAATAACTGTAGTATTTGATAATAATATAAAATAAAATAAAAACATTTTAAGAATTAGATAAATAACTACATTATTTCATAACAATGCAAAATAATAAAAACATTTTAAGAACTATCTATTAGCATGACACTTTTAATCTAAAATTCTGATATGCACAACTCAAAATAACACAAATAATACTCCTAATCTAACCTCAGAATACACAACTGCAACAACTGTAGTTTTTCCAACTAGGACAATTTGTGGTCAAGAATTCACGAATCCAAAAAAAATCCGCAATAAATTCTCCAATTTTCATAGTAAAGAAACTATCATTGAACCCAAAAGACTACTTAAATTTTCATTTAAGAAACTAGCTCTCTCATATTATACCTTTTTAAAATATACTAGTTGTGAGTACGTAATTTTTGCCTAATATAAAATTATTCCTAAAAATTCCAAAAATAGCTTTAAATTATTTTTCTATATTACTTTTTACTTAGTTTGCTTTGTACGTACTCATGTTTGATGCATTTTTAAGTTGCATTTTAAATCCTAAAGAAAATATAAAAATATTTTTAAATCTTTACATTTTTAGACTTTAATTTGCATAACTAATCTAAAATACCAAAAGATACATTAGTAACTCTACATGCATTTTTAGCTAAATGGATTAATTAATTATAGAAAAATAGGTTATTAGGTTAATTTTGCAAATTAGTTGGAATTAGGAATGTTAAATAAAGTGGTTATTCTTGAAAATGAAAAGAAAATAAAGAAAAGGCTATTTGCCTTGTCTTCAAGTTGGGCCAATTGACTAAAATCTACCCAGCCCAATCCCGCTCTTCATTAAAACTCCACATCCCCAAAACCCAAAAGACGGATTCCCCTTTTTCCCTTTTAGAGACCAAAGAACCTAGCATTCTTAGGAGAGCTCTCTAAAAACATACCCCGAGCAGCCGTATCTCCTCCTTCACTCTCTGAGACCTACAAACATACAAAATTCACACATACAAAATTCACTCAGACATAGACTGTTCGTTTACCAATTTTCAGAGAGCACAGTCGCTGCACTCAGCTAAATAAATTTTAAAAAAATGAAAAATCGAAACTGAAAAGTTCTGAAAGATTTCTGAAATTTGAAAACAAAGCTTCTGGAAAGCAAGAAGAAATAGGATTTTAAAAGCTCTCAATACTCGTTTCCGGTTTGCAAAATGCTTTGGAGTTGATTTCGTTGTTGTTTCATTTGTTGATGTGCTATTTCAATTGCTGGATTTTCCCTATATTTCAGACCTTTATTCGGTCAAGTTCGTTTATTCCTGCTATTAGGTATGTGGATTTACACCTGTTATACTTCGCTTTAAATTGAAGAATGAAATCTGAGTAGTTTATGCCCCATTTAAGTTAGTACTCCATTCTTGGTTAGAAAGGAGTATGGGAAATGAAGATATATTTTCTTAGTTACAAACTTTATAATTTCCATTATATTGTTACCTTTTCTATTTGCTAGAAACAGACCTTTGAGCATTGTTGCTACGTTTAACTTGTTTTAGAAAAGAAAAAGAATGACTTCTTCATCCGATAAAGCATTAGCGAAGAAAGAAAGAAATCCAGTAGCTATTATTTTCAAATATGCTCAACTTCATGGATTTAACATGTGAGACATCGAATTTGCCTAAAATTTTCTTTTCTCTTATTAACCTCGGGTGTTAGTAGTCACTAGTTGAGGTAAAAATACATATTAATTGAGGTGATAAAAATTTATCTAAAAGTGAAATATCTGTTGATTTGATGTGAATATTTGACGGAGATGATTTTATGTTTGCATCGACACACGGAACATTAACTGCTAAATAGCAGAAGGCTGAAATTCTGTAAAATAATTTAATTTTGTTGCTGAAGTTATATAAATTTTTATTGATACAACATGATTGAAACTAGTTGGTTGAGTTGGTCTCAACCATGTGGTAAATCAGTTAAATTTCATTAGGTATAAGTTTAGGTTAAGCTACATTGATCCTGTCCGAAAGTTTTGTTTACCAAAAGGCTAGCTCTTTGCCTAACAAATGCTTGCTATATAGATTTTCCTCTTATGCCACTTTTCTTCAATATGCTTTTGTTGGTTACATTTGCGAGTTAATCTGTATTCGGGGATAGTAAGACAGAAGATAACTTAAATCTTGAGTTAATTATTATCATGATTATGTATACGTTCGCGTGATATAATTATGATTTTCAAAATAAATCAAGGCACGCGTTCGCGCGACTTTGGCCAAAACTAGCTTAATAATTAATAAAGCGTGATAAATTATGTACACGTACATGTGATTTACACATATGTAATCCGTTTCAAAGATAACATAAACGCCATAATTAAAAGCGGTAAAAAGGTAAATGCACATAGGTTCTAAAAATAAGTATTTAAATAATTTAATTAAGCCAGCTATGATTAAAACGACCGTGCTAAAAGCACGAAATCCGAGAATGTCTAACACCTTCTCCCGGGTTAATAAAATTTCTTACCCAATTTTCTGATTTTGCAGACTTTTTAACAGAGTCAAATTTTCTCGATTTGGGATTTAAAAGGAACCGGTGACTTGGGACACCATAATAAATATCTCAAGCGGCAACTCTAAAATTAAATAAATAATCTCATTTCTAGAAGAGAAATAGAAGATTACACACCTGCTACAAAAATGTTCCTCATTTCTAATTCATATGTTACCAAAAAAGTATGGCTTTCTCGTAACACTTGCTGAAATTGTGTTGTGTAAGATCGGAGCAATTAGAATTATTATCAAAAAAGATGATAAACTATTATGTCAGATAGACTTTAGCAACACAAATAAATTTAGCAATTAAATAATTAGGAGATATACCTTTACGAAACAGTTTCTAGCCTAAGCACTTATAAATCATGTTGATAATTTAGAAGCAGTCAAACAGTTGGGGACAACTTGATATAAACTGTAAGGGCATCTCCAACCTTTACCCTATTTTTGGTCTCCAAAATGGGAATTTTCTTATTTTGGGGACAACTTACTCCAACTATTCCCCATTTTTTCCCCAAACTTTTTTATATTCTTCTCTCTCTTATATATTATATTATTATCTTTCATTTCAATTTTATTTTTTAATTTTCATTAAATAAATTTCATCTTTTATTTTTATTAATTTGTAATTTCCATAATTAAAACAATTCCATAAAATTTTAAATAATAGTTGAGGCGATGAATAATGCAACCCAGGCAAAAAAAGAAGTTTTGACTGTTCAAAAGGAAAAAGTAAGAGTAAAAGAAATGAAAGAAGAAAATAAAATTTTAATGATGGATGTGGATTCTATTGTCGATCCGACTCGTCGTGAATTTATGCGACAAGAACAACAGCGAATAATGTATAAAAGAAGTCAAGAATATTCACAGTCACAACCACAACAATCCTCAGCCCCATTCAGTCAATACTATAATGATTTTGGTGTATCTAGAAACGACATAGCTCCCTACTAAGTTATTATGCTATTTACTATAGTTTCAATTTTTATGTATTTTAATTTAATGTATTTTCAATTGTCATGTATTTCCAATTTTAATGTATTTTCAATCTTCACTTTTCAATTTTAGCAAAACATCTAATATTTTATATTCGCACCTCTCAATTTTAGCAACATCTAATATTTTATATTTGCACCATTCATTTTTTGAGATAATTATATATTTTTTGTACAATTATAACTTATAATAAAATTAATTTATAATTTTACATAAAAATAATAAATGCACGAAAATTAATTTATCAAAATTATACACCAATGTTAAAATATAAAATTAATATTTTAAAGATATACATAAATATAATTAAATATATATAAAGAAATAAATAAAAAAATTAAATAAAAAAAATAATGAATAGTAACGAGAGATGAATAGTGCAACCAGCAACACTATTCATCTCATTTCGTGGACAAAAATAAGGGAGTGTTACAGCTAAATTATCCCAAAAATTACCGTATTTACGAGGATGGGTCAAGTTTGGAGATGGCCTAAAGCAAGAGTTACGGTTTCTATTTCCGAAAATTTTAGTCGAGCAGATCAGCCATGGCGGAAACTGAACCTCAAGCCTCCGAAACTGTAGCACAGAACGAGAAAGAAAAAACCTCCGCACATAAAATGGACGTAGAAGCTCAAGCCGCCGATGATGCGGCGGAGAACGGTGGCTCGAAGAGTCTAAGGGATGAGGGAGACGAACTAGGGTTAATGGAGACTCCACGAAGAAGCCGAAAGTCGACAACTCCGTGGAAGAAAAAAAGAAAGATGGGTCGGATCCGGTTAGCGTGGGTCCGAAGAGTTTCGGGTCGTCTGTGGAGATGTTTGATTACTTCTACAAACTCCTTCGTTCCTGGACTCTCAATCTCAATCTCAACAAGGTAAAATATCCATTGTTTGTCAATATCTTGTTTGTAAAGATGTCATTTATTCAGGATATTTCACAAAGTGAGCTGGTGCTTTGTGTCTTTAGTACCGTGTAAAGCAAGGGATGGTTTTTACCCTATTCTTATGTTCTCCGATTTAGTTGATTATCTATGGGCATAGCTGAATGGTTCAGATATGTGGGGCACTTTAAGTTGGCATTTTAGGATCTCTTACATTTAAGATTCTGATTTCTGAATGTACATTTCGTTTAAGCATCAAATTGCATTATATCGTACTGATATTGATGTCAAATTGCTCCGTGCTCTTAGCATCAAGGAATACTTTATGAGTGGCTGCTGACTAATATGAATTGCTTAGTCTAAAGGCTTTAACACCTCGAGGTATTTGATTGTACATCCTTTTTGGATATGTGTGTTTGACAACAAACATCTACCTGTGAATATTAACGTTCCTGGGATAATCATTTGGCATTTTGACTGCCTCTGATTATCTAGTTAATCCTTCTATGGTCTAATAAAGAAGATGTTGCTAAGTTCGGGATAATTTAATTGCAATCGGAATGATAATCTGTTTGATTTGATTTTGCTCAGAATGACCACTCCATCTTCTTGTTCCCCGGAGCTTGCCTTCTGGACTTCAAATTTGGAAATTACTGTTTTCTTGCCTGTTGAACTACTTAGCCTTTTGTGGCGGTCAAATTAGTATCCTTGTGGGGTTGGTACTTTCACCTCGATCTAATTATTGAGAGCAAAAAATGGCCAAATCCTTGCTTAAATGTATGTATTAGTCATAACATTAGAGAGGCGTTATGAGTTATTACTGCACAAGAAAGTCGATTTCGCAAGGATTGTCTGTTTAAACTATGATTCTGCTTTCGTGGATTCCCATTTTGGAACTAGATCTTAGTATTGGAGATATTTGGAATGTTTACATTTGTTACTTATATCTGAGCGCTTGATATGATGATCCTGGGTCACTTACCTTTTGTTGGTTGGTGTCGCAATATGAGCACATGCTGCTACTTGGCTTACTTAAGAAGGGCCATTCAGAACCAGAGAAGAAGATTGGTACAGGAGTTCGCGCTTTCCAAATCCGATTTCATCCACAGTTCAAAAGTCGCTGCTTCTTTGTTGTTAGGTAGGATGATTCTATGGATGATTTTAGCTTTAGAAAGTGTGTAGATCAGATACAACCCCTTCCAACAAACATGCAAGTAAAACATTATGCTAACGGTGGAAAAGGTGGCGGTGGTGATGGTGGTGGAAGAAGAGGAGATGGATATGGGCGTGGTCGTAGAAGAGGAAGGAGGCCAAGATACTAAACAAGCTGACAATAGACTGCCAGATTCTTCTGATCTGTCTTGTTACGTACTATTTAAAATCCAAAATTTGGTCTGTTACATCTATGTTCCCCCCGTTTTGCCAAAATGTTTTTTGCTGGTTAAAGTCTCATGGCTGTAAGAACTACATGAAATAACATTTTGTTGGCGGCATCACCTATTATCTTACCAAAAGCTGGCTAAATTGTTAAATATGAGAAGCCTTCTGATTGTTGCCTGATATTTTGACCCATAAACCTGCCCCATTTTGCCTAAAGCAGCAACAATCCAGTATAATTCAACAAGTGGGGTTTGGGGAGGGTAGTGTGTATGTAGACCTTACCCCTACCCTGGGGATAGAGAGGTTGTTTCCGATAGACCCTCATCACAAGAAGATGAAAAGAGACTAGAATAGCAAAACAAATTACTTTCTGCCTAAAGAAAGTACAAAAATTTAAGGTAGAGCAAGTTTGGAGTTAGAGAAGGAATAGCTTTGTTCAGTGATATTCTAATAACTGCATGTAATCACACTATCATATGTATGTTTAGTTTTTAAAAAAAGCTAAATGAATTCATAGTGTAGAATTTTTTACACTGAAATATAGGTAATTTAATTAAAAACACGGATTTATTGACAAAAGAAAAGGAACCTCATCCCAACGTAACACTTTTTTGTTGGGCTTGGCCTTAAGAACCATCAAAATTAACAAAGCTTTCTTCACGGTAACAAGGATAATCTCTATTGTTTCTCGGTCTTTCTTATATGATCGTATCAGAGAGTGTCAGTATGACGGCCCCCATTTGCTTGTTCTCAAGGACACGATTAGCACGGGGATTCCAAGGAGGTCATTATTGGGGATGCAATGTGTTACGGATGCAGGGCAGGCTATGTGTGCCCAATGTATAGGTTTGCATGAGTTGATTCTTCAGGAGGCCCACAGTTCACGATACTCCATTCATCTGGGTGCTGCTAAAATGTATCTGGATTTGAGGTAATACTATTGGTGGAAGAGGATGAAGAAGGACATAGTGGAGTATATAGCTCGGTGCCTAAATTGTCAGCAGGTGAAGTATGAGCATCAACGGCCAGGTGGATTGCTTCAAAGGCTAGAGATTCCAGAGTGGAAATGGGAGGGGGTTGTTGTTGGGCTCTCACGGACTCAGAAGAAGTTTGATGTAGTATGGGTGATTGTGGGTAGATGGACCAAATGGGCTCATTTCATTCCAGTGGTAACTACTTATTCTTCAGAGCAGCTGGCTCAGGTTTATATTCGCGAGATTGTCCGACTTCATGGCGTGCCGATATCTATCATCTCTGACCAGGGCACACAGTTTACATCGCGATCTGGAGAGTCGTATAACGTGAGTTAGGCACACAGGTTGAGTTAAGTACATCATCTCACCCTCAGACAGACGGATAGTCCGAGTTCGCACTATTCAGATATTGGAGAATATGATTCGTGCGTGTGTGATAGAGTTTGGGGGTTCTTGGGATCAGTTCTTACCGTTTGCGAAGTTTGCCTACAACAACAGCTGCTAGTCTAAATTCAGATGGGCCCATACGAGGCCTTGTATAGGAGGCTGTGTCAGTCTCCAATGGGTTGGTTTGAGTAGGGCGAGACTAGGATATTGGGTACTGACTTCGTTTAGGATGCTTTGGAAAAGGTTAAATTGATTCAAGATAGGCTTTGCATAGCCCAATCTAGACAGGAGAGTTATGCGGATCTGAAGGTTCGCGACATTGCATTCATGGTTAGAGACCGGGTCTTGCTCTGGGTTTCGCCCATGAAGGGTGTTATGAGGTTCGGGAAGAGGGGAAAGCTTAGCCCTAGGTATATCAGACCTTTTGAGATTCTCGAGAGGATTGAAGAGGTGGCCTACAAGCTTGCACTGCCACCTAGTCTACCTGCAGTTCATCCAGTATTCCATGTTTCTATGCTCCAAAAATATCGCGGTGATCCGTCTCATGTGTTAGACTTCAAATCAGTCCAATTGGACACAGATTTGTCTTATGTTGAGGAGCCAGTGGTCATTCTGGACAGGCAGGTCCAAAAGTTGAGGTCGAAGAATATTGCTTCAGTAAAGGTTCAGTGGAGGGGTCAACCAGTCGAGGAGGTGACTTAAGAGACCGAACACGATATGTGTAGCCGTTATCCTCACTTTTTCACCACTTCAGATATGTCTCTATACTCGTTCGAGGATGAACATTTGTTTTAAGAGGGGAAGGATGTAATGACCTGGCTAGTCATTTTGAGTATTTTAGTCCAGATCCACTATTTATTGCCTCCTCGATGTTATATTATGGCTATGTGACTTGTCGGGGTATTTGGTTTTGGTTTTGGGTGAGTTTCAGAGTAAAATGGGATACATAGTCCCTAAGTTGGAGGTGTAAGTTGATCGTAGTTTGACTTTGTGTAAACGACTCCGGAACGGAGTTTTGTCGGTTCCAATAGCTCTGTATGGTGATTTTGGACTTAGGAGTATGTCCATATGTTAATTTGGAGGTCCGTAGATCGTTTTGGCTTGAATTGACGAAAGTTAGAAAGTTGAAGGCTTGGAAGATTGAAAAGTTTGACCGAGAGTTGACTTTATTAATATCAGGGTCAGATTCTGATTTCGGAAGTTTGAATAGGTCCGTCGTATCACTTATGACTTGTGTGCAAAATTTGAAGTCAATCGGAGTTGTTTTGGCATGAATCGACATTAGTTTTGGAGTTCGGAAGTTTATAGTTTTATAGGCTTGAATTGGGTTGCAATTCTTAGAATCGATTTTGTTTGATGTGATTTTTTGCCTCAAGTAAGTCCGTTATGTGTTTGGAACTTGTTAGTATATTCAGACGGGGTCCCAAAGGCTCCGGGTGTGATTCAGAATGAATTCGGAACAATTTGGACTTAGTCCCATTGCTGAAGTTCCAGCCTTCTGGTGTCATCGCACTTGCAGAGAGATTGGCCGCAGGTGCGGACTCGCAAATGCGAGTAATGAAGCGCAAAAGCGAAAAGGACTGCCTAGGCTTGGGATCGCAAGTGCGTGGTGATTTCCGCATCTGCGAGTCTGCAGGTCCGGAGGAGATGGTCGCATATGCGGACTTGGCCTGCTTGGTCGGTCATTGTAGAGGCGGAGATTATCCATAGGCGCGCGTACACTGGTGTGTGAGTTTTGTCCGCATAAGAGGAATTCCCTGACCGCAATGGAAAACCGCACCTGCGATAGTTTTTCCGTAGGTGTGCGTCACAGGTGCGACTGAGTGACCGCAGATGCGGATTCACTGGGTAGAAAAGGCCTAAGTTCGAGGATTTGATTTATTATCTATTTTTAGACGTAGAGAGCTCGGTTTGTGGCAATTTTTCGAGAGATTTTCAAGGAAATCATTAGGGTAAGAGATTCTAACTCGGTTTTAGTTAAATTACACGAATCTATTATTATTTTCATCATTTAATTAGTGATTTGAGTTGAAATTTTGTGGAAAGATTGTGAAAACTTTTTAGGCTAAATTTTGGTGTTTTGAAGGGCGATTTGAGATTGGATTTGAGTAATTCTTGTATGGTTGGACTCGTTATAGAATGAGAGTTCGAATTTTATAATTTTGGTCGGGTTTCGAGATGCGGGCTCGGGTTGACTTTTTGAGTTGACTTTTTATTTCTGTGTAAAGATCGTAACTTTATTGTTCGAAATAATTTTATTATAGTTTATGTTTATGGTATGAAGTTGTTTTAGCTAGATTCGAGCCGTTCGGAGTTGGATAATTGAGGGGAAGGCTTACTAGTGGATTGAGTTAGCGTGTTTTGAGGTAAGTGTCTTGCCTAACTTTGTGTGGGAATTACCCTTTAGGATTGATATTGTTTTGTGATAATTGTGATGCGTGGAAGCCGTGTACGCAAGGTGACGAGTATATACACGGACTAAATATGAAAATTTTAGCTATGTAGATTCCTTTCATGCCTTAATTGAGTTATCTTAACATGTTATCGTCACTATCATTAGTCTATTTCACATGATCTACTTGTCTTATCCATTACTTGTTGATTGCGCTACATGTGTTAGTTGAAGTTCTTGTTTTCTTTATTCCATATTCATTATTTAAGTTGAATTCTTTACTTGGAGTTGTTATTCTTGGAATATCTTGTTGTTGAAATTGGTATTGAGTTATAAAGGTCGTGATTCACACTGAGGCAAAGTGTTAAGTTGTGAAGTACTATCCGTGTTGAGTTATTCACTTCCGGTTGTTATTGTTGAGGCTCTTGTGTACTTGTGGTTGAGCTATGGGCTATTTATTGTGAAAACACCGTTATTTTTTATTTCTTTGGCAAGCTGTGATATTGGGCACTTGAGGTACGATTTGTGATATGTTGTGATTTGATACGCATGCGGTGGAATAAGATTTTGGGGTTGAAATGCATACAGTGAGATAAGGTGGGTTGATACGCGTGTTGCTAGTAGGGGAACTACTTGAAGCCACGCAGTGTGATAAGGTGGACTAAAATGCGGGATGCTATTTCGGAAAAAATAATTTTCAAAACTAAATGCAAGGCTCCCGCGGTGATATAAGAAAAGATTGTGGATTATTTTTGCAATTTAAGACTATGAGGCGGTACCTCGGTAGTGACTCTTGTTGGTATTTCTCTATTACTTCACTTGTTTCGGTTGTTTTGTTTCCTTGACTTAACATTTTTTGTTTTCTTCCGTGATGCAACAATTGAAAGTTTAGCAAGTTAAAGCTTAATAAATAAGGCTCAAGTAATAATCTGTCGCTCCACTCAGCAAAACACTTCTTACTCAAAGTTCTGAATGATTGCACCAAGTAGAATACAAAGACTTAAATATCGCACTTGGTGTCTTTTTATGGAGAAAAAATATACAAAATATCAAACAACGCTTTTATGGGGGAAATAAATACGCATTGTGCCACTTTTCCGCAACCAATATATTTTTTTTCCTCATTGAATTTTTTCGAGTAAAAGTTGTTAATTAGTGTAAATTATCTTAAATTCTACAATAAACATTCTATTGTGAATGCAATAGAATGTGATTACTTATTTGTATTTCTAAATTTGACACGTCTTTATAATTTTATATTCTTCATTTGTACTCTTTGTGGTATCCACAACTTCCCAACTCTTCTTTATAGATAATGTTCATAATACTCACTGCTTTCTGAAGATTAATATTCATGTTCATAATACCCTCTTGGTATTGCCAACATATCTATCTATACTATATTAAAAGCACGAAAGTCATTAGCGAAATGTCGTTCGTCTTTTTTGCCCTTTAAAAAAAGATTTCACACTAGATAAAATTGTCATTTACCCTTAAAATCAAATAAAACTATATTTATTAAAACTTCCCATATTTGAATTATTATGTAGGAAGCCCTAATATTTAGGACCTTAAAATCAACTAAATTGTATAAAGTAAAGTTCTAATTTAGGACCAAATATATTAATTAACTTATGTTGAAATATATTGGAAACTCAAAATCTTTAATATCTCACCAGAAACCATTAGATTTAAGATTCAAAGCCATTAACGGAAAAAACTGAACAACTACTGAAACTTTTTTTTATTTGAAGAAAAGAGGTACGAATTTTTATGTTATGAATTTTTGGAGTTGGAAACAATTTAATTCTATCTTGAAAAGGTATTTTTCTCTTTTAGTTACAATTATATTTTAAGAATTAAATATAATTTAATATTTTTTAAAAAAAGTTTTTGTTTATTTTACTTCTCGCCTAGATCAGCGATATCAATATTCATTATTTCAATAACTTATATATTTTTAAAATTTTTACTTTATAACTTAAATATGTTATTTAATAATATTTCTATATTTTTAAATAATTATATAGTTGTTGATATAGGTATACGCACAAAACGTGTACCTTAAGTACGAAGGTCATTAGCCTCTTTAAAAATATATTTTATATTAGACAAAGTAGTAATTTTAGTTACTTTTCTAATATTTAGGATTAATCATTAATTATTTTTCTCATATTTAGGAAAAATAATTTAATTAGTTGCCTACTATTTAGGACTTTGACATGGAAAATCATATAATTATCTTTTTGTTATAAAAATATTTGTTTAAGAGTCCTTGACGAACACTTTTGTTTTGGTTAAAAAGTTTTAGTTTTAGTATTATTTATTTTTCTTTTCTTTTTCAGAACTCCTTTTTTCGTATAATTATGTAATTTGATTATACAATGAGCTACATTAATTTATTCTTTTTCTAATCCGTTGAAAATAATTCATATAATATTTATTATTAATTAAAAATTAAATAATCTACTTTTTGATCTCGAAAAAAATTGTTATTTTCTATCAATTTGTTAATCATGTTAGAGTCTTCTATAAAATGAAGTAGTGAATAACTTTTTTTTAAAAAAAATAAAAAATTCTTAAGTTTTATAGGATTATATGTGATTGCCAAAATTAAAAAAAAAGCATGATAATTTATGAATTTAAAGCTAGTGAATTAAAAAATTAAAATAAATTTTTAGGTGAATATATTGACCGATGATTGAGAATTTGTATGAAGATTCATCATTTTAGAGAATATTAGCTTTTATTTTATATTCAAACATAATATTTTAATATTATTTATATAATATTTTAAAATTCTTTCTTATTGAGATAGTGTATACGCGCAAAGCACGTACCCTAAGACTAATGCCTATAAATAGAGGTATTAAGATAGATATTTTATACGCTAATTAACTTAAAAAGTTTTATTTCCCTTTTAATATTATACAAAAAACTTAATCACACGCATATNATATATATATATATATGTATATATTATACATATATTATATATGGATTATATATAAATTACACATTCTTCAGTTTTTTTTAAGTGGCAAGTCGAGCACTTATTTAGGTTGATTAGATAAAGCCAAAAGAAAAATATAGAAGAATTTCAACTAAACACTAAAAATATAAATAAAGTTCTTATGTAGACAATTTCTATTTAAACTCATATTTTTATAGAGAAATAAATTAATTTTTTGTAAAAAAGAAGAAGAAGAAGAAAGACATAAAAAATAAGATAAAAGAAAATAAATATAGAAAAGATGTTTGAAAAATCTAAAAACCAGAAATAAGAGATGACAACGAATTTCTTCTTCTGTTTCATCTATGTTAAGTATAAAAAATTTGGAAGTTGATATCGCCGATTTTAAATATTTTTTTCAACTCAAATACATAGACTATAAGACAAGGATATCTTAGAATTTTTTTAATTTAAATTGTGTGTCGTTTTTAAAAAATTACTATTACTAACAAACTGATATGATATCTGAATTTGAATATAAATGCAATTTGAGTAGTTTGCATTGAGGTTAAGCCAAGTATGGTATCAAGAAAAAACTACTTGGCAATTTCAAAATAATATATGCAGTGTTATACAATAGCAATCAACTAATTTAACATTTAGTGATTCAAAGAACAAAAAATTTGTATATATATATATATATATATATATATATAAGCAGAGGCAGATGTAGAGTCTTGACAACAGATTTAAATGAACCCATAACTTTTCACGCTGAGCAAAAATTTATATGTAAAACATTCTTAAAATTATAAAAATAGCAGATATGAACTCATAACTCTAAAAATATAATGAGTTCAATGCTAAAACCTTAAAAATTGAATCCATAAAGTATAAATCCTACATCCACCTCTGTATATAGGGTATTCTAAATTCAAAATATGTGGCTAGAGATATCGATAAACTCAAAATAATGTCATATTGAAATAAAATTTTACTGGCTAAAGAATCATTTAAATTCTTAGATAGCCGACTAAAGTAAATTTTAAATTAAAGATAATATCTTCACTTGCACCATTATATATATATATATATATATATATATAAAGTTTTAGAAATTGGAATGTCAAAATAGAAATATTTTTTAAAGATAATAACATACCAAATAAGAGTTCAAGTCGTAGTAAAAGAGTCATGTCGTAACAAAAGAATCGTTCATATTGTGTCAACCTTTGTGCTTTGACATAAATACGAGTATTATTTCAATTTTTGGCTATTTTTAGATTCCAATGACACAAACGAGAGTGGTGCAAAAATAAAATTATCACTACGAGATTTGAAAAAATGTTAGTCTTTTTCATGTACTGTTTCGTAACTGATATCTAACGATTATCTAGAAGGTTTAAATTTTAAGGTTATTTACATACCATTCAAAAAACTCGGATATTTAATATGGTTAATGTCAAATATTAAAATGGAGTCACACTNAAGTAGTAGTAAAAGAGTCAAGTCGTATCCAAAGAATACTTCATAGTCTCAACCTTTGATTGTTATTTCCCGGCTAATTTTAGGATCCAATGACACCCGCGAGAATGGTATCAAAAAATAAAAATAGAATTATATCTAGGAAATTTGAGAAATGGTTAATCTTTTTCATATAGTGTTTCTTAATTAATATCCAAAGATTATCTATATTTAATAGAGAAATTTTAAGTTTTAAGATTATTTACATATAATCTAAGTAACTCAAATATATTACATGGTTAGTGTCCATGCATTCGCGCGAGTGATAATACTAGTTACTCTTTATAATAAATTAGTGTGATTTTGCATAAATATGAGATGTGAGTAAAAAAATATGTTATTTGTTAGTATTATTACTATCTTTAATTAAGTACTTTTTTTTTTTTTTCTGTCTACTTGTTTCTTACTCTTCTCACGTGTTAGCAACACCACATTATTGTCTTCTCTTCAACCCCTTCTCTCTCTTTCTCTCACCCAACTGAACAAATCTTAAGAGTCAAGATCGAGAAAGGAGCAGAATCAGATTCAGAATGTCAGCAGCGTCGACAATGGCCGTGATTGGAGCATCAAGCTCGTGGTCAAGAGCAATGTTACAGATCTCACCTTACACTTTTGCCGCTCTCGGAATTGCTATTGCCATTGGCGTCTCTGTTCTTGGTGCCGCTTGGTACGGTACCCTCTTAATTATTTGCAAAATGATTTAATTTTTTTGTTATTTTTTCTCAAAGGGTATCCAAATCTGATTAAAGTTTATGACTTTGTTATGGATAGGGGAATTTACATAACTGGAAGTAGTTTGATTGGTGCTGCAATCAAAGCTCCTCGCATCACCTCCAAGAATCTCATTAGGTAATTTCAGAGGCTTATACTTTTCCCAATTTTGTCTCGGTCATTTTTTTTGTAAACTTTATTTGTGTAATTAAAATTACCTTAGATGCAGTAATAAGATTTTCCTTGTGAATCCTGAGCTGTTGCATTCGATTTAGTGTTAACTTATTTTGCCGTTTTACACTGGTTGCTGAAGAAAATACTAGTTTGTTATCAATAGGGTGGACCAAGATTTTCATTAAGGGGGTTCAAGGAAAGATAGTGAGTGAAATGGTGCTAATGGAATAGAAACACCAGAGCTCATACAAATCTCGTGTCTTCCTTAACCATTGCTTTGGAGTCAAACCTTGTGTGAAGGAATTTATTAACACATATATATACATAGCTTTATCTTTAATAATGTTATTTATCCATATAGAACTGTGGAATTCTTTAGAAGAAGTTTGTTTGAGCCATGTGCCATGCGAACTAAGCCTCGTATTTAAGGGGAGAATAGTAGAGGGCCATGTCCATTATTCCCGAGTTTCAAAGGCTGCCATCGGTCATAAGGGTTGGGCCCAGACGAATTTCTCGGTCATAAAAAAAATCTTTAGGAGAAGGGATTCAGTTGAATCCTGCCTACATTGGTCTGCCCCTGTTGATATATAGTTTATCCCTCTTCGAGTTGTCTGTTGTAGGTTGGACTCCATATTTATCTTCCGATGAAAATACCCCAATTTATAGGTGCCTTAGAAGATCAAACGGGTTCTTTTAACCAGTTTATTTGAATAACCGACAGAGTGAAACATCTGTGTAATTCAATTTTTAGCTATAGGAATAGGTTTTTTTTTTTTTTTTTTTTGATGAAGTGGTTTCATTAATGGCATCAAGTAGATGCAAATAGTACAAGAGATAGTAAGAACAAAAGTGAGTTTGTTAGCTCCATTACGATGTGCCCCATGCTAAAGATAAGGAGTTAACAAAGTCTAAAAGGTGTCAGAGGAGTTTGCAGGGGAACGATTGCTCCAGCTATATGGATTTAAAAGACACTTACCCTTGAGAGTTTGATTAAAAGTTGATATTCCATCAAAACTACTTTGATTCCTTTCTGTCCAGACACCAAAAAATATAGGCAGGAATTATTTTCTAGATTTTCCTGATGGATCTACCAGCTTTCCAAGAACTCCAGCATATGTAGTGTAGGGATCCTTAGTCCTCTCAGGCATGACCCAACTGAGTCCAAAACCTGAAAAGAACATGTTCCAGATATCTGTAGCAACTGATCAATGTAATAGGAGTGACTGTTGGTTTCTATACTCTGTTGGCACATGTAGCATCTGTTAGCAATGCATATGTTCCTTCTGCTGAGATTTATATCATAAATCATACCATATTCTGACCTCACATATCATGTATTCTGGAAATGTATAAGTCTAGATATATCTTTCGGTATAAGTGCTTGTATCGTTGTGATCAAATTTTAATAACTAGCCAGCTTAACATGACAAAAGAAGCCTTTGTGCACCTTTTTCTTTATGAAGTAAGGAAAAACAATACTTGTGAAACAAGTCTTGGACAATAAAAAAACACCTAATTAAGTCTTGGGTAGGAATGTAGGATTTATTCACCTTGTGAAACAAGTCCAAGGAAATAAAGAAACACCTAAAGATGCTACCAATAGTATATAACCTGACCAAAACAGTAGATCCTCCAACACTTTGTATCCTACTTGCCCTACCATACTTAGAGTTACCCAATATCATAACTACTAAGTTCTTCAGACTTAATAACATAGAGTTACCAAGTCAAGATCCAAGTTTCGTTGTCCGTACTACAAAATCTGAATACAATTCTAGTATATTATATTTCTAATTGTTGGAGTATTATATAGTTTCTCCATACTTAATAGCAGATGATATTCATTGTCTAATGTACTTTACATGTTCCATGTTCATATTCATTGCTATCCTCTTAAATTTCATACATGTATTGGTCTGTTAAACTTAATGACACCCTTGTAACAAAACTTCAAAAAACACAAGTGAACTATACTTAGGTGTCATTTTATGCTAGTATCTTCGCATACCTCCACAGAATCAGCATAGCTTCCAATGGCATTGACGTCTCTCCTTCTCATGTATTTGATAAAGATAGACATTCAAACTCAAGCTTCTTCTGTACTTCCTGGCAATCAGCTACTTGGATGTAGAGGCTCTACTAAGCTCTTAGTTTATTGTGTTAGCTGAGCTTTGAGTTCTTCAGGGGTTGGACAGGATATGGTGGAATTGTAATAGCGCTGAATTATGGCGAAAGAATTTGTTAGTGAGATTGTCATAGATTGTAATACTTGCAATGCTCATATTATCTGTATAGGCCGGACTAGAGACATGATTAAGTTTTGTGTCAAATATGCTCTTTGTCTAGATTTATGGAATTCATTTTTGATAAAGTTAATAATTTTAAAAGGCATCAAGCAGATGCAAAGGTTACAAAAGAGAGAATATGGCAGCTCAATTACAAAAGAGAGGCTACTTTATCCAAAACAATTATCAAAGAGAGGCTATTACAAGACTAGGGAGCTGACAAACTCCAAAAGTGATGAATACTATTTACAGGAGAAAAGTTATCCCAGATAAAGAAATTAACCAAACATCTAGCCTTCAGGGAGCTGTTTGAAGTTGAGATACCATCAAAACATTTGTGATTTCTCTGTCCAGATACACCAAAAAATGCTAGCAAGCACCATAAACCAGAGCTTTATGATGGCTTTATCAACTTTCTATGAAAGCTTCTCTAACAGTTAATGGCATAGCCCAATTCAGATAAAAAATAGTAAGAAACATGCTCCAAAGATCAGTTGCTACTGCACAGCAAAGAAATAGGCGATTGAAACTTTCAGAGTTGGATTGGCACATAATACACCTATTAGCTAACTGGAAGTTCCTTTTGATAAGATTATCTTGTGTCCAGCAGGCAGCATTTAAGGGTATCCAGCAAAAACAAATGACTTTTGTAGGTAGCCTAGTTCTCTAGATTAATTTCCTGGGCCATAAATCAATGATCATATTGTTCGAGCTTAGGTGAGCATACCCTGCTTTGACTGAGTATACCTTCCTTTGAGTTGCCCCATTTTAGACTGTCCTTGTCCTGCGCACTTCTCCAATCTTTCAAGTAATGGAAGGAGGTCACCAACCTCCCAATCATGTAGGCGTCTCCTTAAAAGTATATTACATCAAAATAAATTAGTAATAAATATGCATGAGACGATGTAAAATGTATTTAGCTAGAATTAAACAAGGAAATTTACTACTCGTATGATGTACTTTGACTGGGCACGTAGTTTAAGAAAGAAAGAAAGACTTTTGAAATTTGTGGTCCAAAATAAGCCATAGATATTTTTGTAGTTTTAAATCATCTCATTAAGGGTAAAATGGGAAGTTAAAGTTTACTTGTTTCTAAATATAGAAAGGTATCATTCTCTTTGGGACCGACTAAAAAGAAAAAGTACATCACATAAATTGCGACAGAGGGAGTATAAGATATTAAACAAAATTGTGGTAAGGCTAAGAAAAATAAAATAATAATCTTATTAGAGCAGCATAAAGTTAAGATTTCTAAAAAATATAGAGAGTAATGGGTATTAGGTTGGGGGAGAGAGAGAGATGAGCAAAGAGTAAAACTGCCCCTTGGTGCTGTGGGATAAGAGTTGTCCGATGGCCACCCATGGTATGAAATTATCGTGACGAGGGGATTTGAATTGCCTCCTCAGTCCCAAAAAAAAGGCAGTCCGGTGCACTAAGCTCCTGCTATGTGCGAGGTCCGGGGAGAGCCAGACCACAAGGGTTTATTGTACGCAGTCTTAGCCTGCATCTCTGCAAGAGGCTATTTCCACAGCCTCCTCAGTCCCAAGTTCAAAATTAATCTAATCAATCAACCTCAATCTCAAGTTAGTTGGGGTCGACTATGGAATTTGTTTTTGTTCATTCAACTCTATTCAGGATCATTTCATTCCAATACGAAATAATTTATCATGAACACAAATTATGGACCACATGGCTAACTTATTTATGTTTCTTGTAGTGTGATTTTCTGTGAAGCTGTTGCTATATATGGTGTTATAGTGGCAATTATTCTGCAAACAAAACTAGAGAGTGTCCCAGCATCAAAGATATATGCACCGGAGTCCCTTCGAGCAGGATATGCAATATTTGCCTCTGGAATTATTGTGGGCTTTGCCAACCTCGTTTGCGGGTTTGTCACTCTTTCTTATTAAAGAAGCTTGTTTGCATACAGAGTTTTCTTCCGTTTCACTTAACCATCTTCATAAATATTCCTTTAACAGGCTTTGCGTAGGGATTATTGGTAGCAGCTGCGCATTGTCAGATGCACAAAATTCTAACCTTTTCGTCAAGATTCTTGTGATTGAGATTTTTGGTAGTGCACTGGGATTGTTTGGAGTTATTGTGGGAATAATCATGTCAGCTCAAGCAACATGGCCTTCGAAAGCATAGTCATGTACTTCTACTTTCTCTGTGCCATTTGGAAGCTGTATTTGCTTTCTTTCTGATGGTTTATTCGTGTAATTTTTGGTAGGAGTATTAATCGAGGAGGTTCTGGTTTTCCCATTGCATTCAGCTGATTGAAATTGACATAAGCTAGGTCATGTCTGACCTGCAACCGATATGTCATTTACACTGTTGTATTCTTACTGTACTCGAACTGAGAAAAAAGTTAGTTAATAAGCTATTGTTTCTTGAGAGTGCTGCTTGTACTTATTCTCAGCAAGGGAATATTATTTATATGCGGATAGCGGCTGAGACAATAAACTCCTGCATGCAGTTACAGTGATGTGTACAGAATTGTGCATGAACGTGAATTGGTTTTCAAATGGAGTGCTGAATTTCTCCTTTACATATGGTAGTGTGCTTGTTAATTGCTTAAAGTTGGTTGTTCACTATAGCGAAATTGGACGGGATTTTTACATTTTTATACCACATATCAAAATTGTTCCATTTGTACCCGACCCACCCACTTCTCTTTGCCTTTTGCTACCTCGGATCTGGAACCCATGAAACCTCGACTCAGACTGCACAACCAACCCAGCAAACTCAGCCCCCTCAGTCGCCACTATTACCGGAATAGGGAAAGAGGAGGGGAGGAAAAAAAATGAAAAAGTTATAACTAAATTCCCTAATTTAAGGCACTAATAATTAATTGTGTATAATTTGTAAGTAATCATTGTTTAGGGCTGGTAATATACAAAACTAGGACAATTTTGGTAAATAAGTTTCAAATATTGTATAGGAAGGAAAAAATCCCAAATTGAAAATCCCTTTTACCTCTTCACTCACAATCCAAAAATTCATATAGATCGGGAAAAAATGTATCTCCTCTATCCAATTTGTTTGGCACCTTGAGTCGAAGTCTGGTTTTATCGATAATCAAAGTTAAACTAGTATGCTTTTTTTAATATATAAATTTATATTTTGATATTCAAAAACTATAGAAAAAGTAGTATTAATTACAATTTATAACATCTTTTATGTTGTTTCAGAAAGCTCGTCTTTGTCCATTTAATAATAAATTAACAAGGTCACACCAAGTTTGCTAAATGAAGAAACATGTATGGAAGGACCTAACCATCTCATTTAAAAGTTTAATTGTTAGAGAAGACACCGTTATTTATTTATTTTATATTTGCAATACTTAGCCCATGTGCTGGCATGAGTCTTTTCTTGAGCCGAAAGGGTCGAAAAATCTTTCAGAGAGTTGGGGCTGCGTTACAAGCTTTCAATTTCTTGGTTAATTTAACAGCACATCAACAAATACTATACCAAGTGCGCTAAAGGAGAAACATTTGTTAATTGTGTGAACTTCAAACCTGTTAGATGTGAGACTTTTAACTACTTTAGGCACGCAACACGCCTACACACACAGAGGAAACAAATGACAGTGAGAATCAAGCTTAATGTCTGTTGATACATGTTGAACTGACTTCTAAAAGCTTATACTGTTAAAGAGATTATGCAATTATTTATATTTTCACTTTGCAACAAGATACAGTTTAAAGTATGAAATTTCACCTTCATTTACATTACACATCACGTCCTGAATTTTTTTATCAGAGGCAATGACGACAACTCTGCAATGTATAGGCAATGATAGAAAATTATATTTGCTGTCAAGTATCAGCTTTATTTGCAGTTCACTACATTCATGAGGTCGTAAATTTTAAACAGATTAAACAATAACAACTCTGCAGCTATACATTGGGTGCATCGGAAAACACACAATCACAGGCTACATGGGAGAATATACAGAATGCTCGAGGCTCAATCATGCAGCCAACATTGCTTTAATCACCAGGCCAGTTAAAAAAACTAGTGATATTACTTCAATATGGAGGGAATATCATAAAAATAAGGCATGTTTTTCTGCTGAAGCTCTTCACAATCTTCTGAACTTGCAGTTTTTGGATCAAAAGACGGGCGGTCTGAAAGTGATAAACCTTGTTTAATGCGACCTAATCTCCTTGAATGCAGAACCTGCTTCGAGGCAACTGGCAGCCGAATGGACTGATATTCTTCGAGGGCAGAGTTCAGGTTTTCCACTCCCCACTTCTCTAAGCATTTGCCTAAAACAGCTGCATCCAATATCGACATGTTTGTACTTCTCAAACCATGAGGAGTAGTAGGGTGAGCTGCATCTCCAATCAACACTACTTTGTCCCATAAAATTTGCTCCAAAGGATCACAATCATATATCACATTTAGGAAAGGCTCCTTAATTTCTTTAATTACCCTAACCAATTCAGGAGCCCAAGTCTTCTCAGCTTCTTCATGCATGTTCCGAATCAAGTTCTCGTTAACCTTCATGGTCACAGAATTCCCCTGAATTTAATCACAGATTATTGGTTTTCAGAATTAATACTTTCACTAAAAATGAACAATACTCGAAATACTGTTGTAGGAAAAAAAACATAAAAATATCAAACTTCAATTGTATATCAGATATGTGGTTGCAAAAGTGTTCCTGCAAACCTCGATTCACTCTCCTAGTTTCCAATCAGTATCTGATCTAATGGAACTATATGTTGATCCATTCATGATAAACAACATTTCTACGTTCACTTTAAATCAATCAACCAAGTCTCGATTCCAAATCTATTGTGATTAGCTATATGAATCCTCTATATCACTTTGCTTTATACAGGTCCATCATTCCAATACTTAATAAGAGGATTCATAATACTCCCTCTATTTGAGCTTATATGGCAGCATTTCCTTTTTAGTCCGTTCCAAGAAGCATAGTGGCTTTCTAAATTTGGAAACTATTTAACTTAACTTCCCATTTACCTTCAATGACAAGCTTTTTATAGTCACACAAATGTTATGGTATTTTTTAAGAATAAGTTTCGAAAATCAATCATTTCTTTCTTAAACTTCGTGTCCAATCAAACTATGCCACATAAACGGAAACAGAAGGAGTAATTGATTATTTTACACTGGTCATCAGCTTATCACAACCTACAACTAAACTCTCTTATCAGCATAAATTTGAACATTCATTCATGACTGACATTACTTTAGCAACCATGTCACTGCATTTGACAACAAGCTCATACCTTGAGGCTTGGTTCGGGCTGATTAATGTACCATATCCAATTGAACCTCTGGTTCAATAGCTCATAAAATACACTATGAGTTCCAGAGCTCAGGTCAAAGTACAGGCATTTCCCAAGATCTGGATACAATTTCTTAAGGCTAATAATGGCTTCTGAGTGTTTCTTATCGGAAAAATCAAGAACCCCTCTCCATGCACAGTAACCTGAATATCTACCAAAAAATAGGTGTGTCGTTAAAAGCATCAAACTGTTGCATTTCCTTGATTAAAAGCCAGGAAAAGAAGAACTTTAGTTGACTTTATATACTAACCTCACTTTAAGGTCGGGAAGGAAACTTTGTCTGATTGAAGACAGACAACCATCAGCAGCAATAAGCAAATCAGCAACAATGTCAATTGTAATGCCCGTTTGAAGAACTTTAGTTTCGACTCTCACTTTTGATTTATCATCGTACATGGAAAAGGAGAGAAACAAATAACCCCAGAAAACAATATCTAGTGGTAGTGCACCATACAAAAGGCTATAGAGATCAGCCCAATAAGCTGCTCTGAAATTGAAATGTTCATCCCTTGCCAATGTCCGGCTCACTTTTGTTTCTCCATCTGTTGCCTGGTTCTGCAGTTGACCATAAGTTCACGAATGAGGACGGGATGAAAATCTAAATTGAGGAATTCCAAAATTTCAACTAATTTGCGATTGAGAACTAAATTAGACACATCACTAGCAGGGCAAACGCACGTGTGTCCAAGAAGTGTGGATGTGCAAACAGTAGGCTAAAGTTACGACCACTTGTCACAACAGATGCTGCCCGTATTTTTGATGACTGTCATCTCCAACTAACCCCGCTTGTGCAAAATTCTGGCCCCCCTTTGATCATTGGGAGTAAATTCCATGGCCTCCCAGTGAAGGAAGAATTGCAATCATGTGCTTATGTTGATCTTAAATCAAGTGCTAAATGCGCATAGACATTAAACACGCCAACACCTCACTTCAATGTTAACTTTTAACTATAAATTTATGCATATTAACCACGAGCAAGAAGACATCAAAATAGGATCAGTCTCTAGTCGAGGGTCTATGAGAAACAACCTCTCTGCCCCCAGGGTAGAGGTAAAGTCTGCGTATGTACTACCCTTACCGGACCCCACTTGTGAGAACTCATTGGGTTTGTTGTTGTTATTGTTGTCACTCATGTTACCAATCAAAAAAATATGCATGGTTCCTCATGTTTGCTACAGCAGAACTCATTGTCCTACCTTCACTTCATGTTCCAAATCCCTGGACTAAATAAGAAACTGTTCTTACAATTATTTCACACTTTAGCTAATCTCTAAAAGAGATTTTCTACTGGTTTCTCTCGTACCTCAGTTTATAAGTGAGACTCTGCTGTGATGCCCGTCAGTTTACAGAATCAAATGTTTCAAGAATTATAGTGATTTACCCAAAAAACATTTTCGTCATGAGTGGTGACACTGCAGGCCGATGATGAACAACTTGAAGCTAAGCATACACCAAGACATACTCCATAATGATCAACTTAAAGTTCATAAGACATTGTTTGTCACTTGTTGAAAGAGTACCATAGTACCGCTCCCAGTTTTTCCCCTTCCACACTATAAAGACAATTAAATAGAGGGGCATATGATGATTTCACGACACGAAGGTGTTAATTTACTTATTGAAATATCACCCAAATCTCTATCTTTTGCTAGCCAGATCAGAAAAAGGATCCCTGAGTGGTTGAGGCATACCAGTAACAACATGGAAATCGTAAGTTCATACCGCAGTACAACACTAAGCGTGAACCCATTTGCTCCGACTTTGGTGGGGCAGGATTATCCAACACCGATTCTTGTGGGTGTAGCAGGCTGCCCAATGGATTTCTCGAGGTGCAAGCTAGTAATGACAATACCATTATCCATAGGGAAAATTTCACATAAGAACAACTGGGATCTCTACTTTTCAATTTTATAGCTCATATTTCAATTTACAACCAACTAGCCCAAAAATAATAGGCTAAAATTCAACATCCAACTCCAATAGGTTCTCAAAATTACTATTTAATTTTTAAAAAAGATTTCTCAAGCTTTTAAGTTAATTTTCGAATCAGTAACTGTAACCCAAATATTAGTTCAACAAACCAAATCTATTTGGATGGTGAAAATTAGATTTTTAACAAGCTTAAATATATGGGTTTAGATTCCGAATTTGATTTTGTGAGAAATTTGGAGTGGGTATTATCTAGAATTGTTAGAAATAGTAGAAGGAGGTTGTATATAAAATTTGAAGTCATTTAATGGAGATTTGGACTAATTTTGAACAAGAATTGCAACTGAAAATCGTGAAAGAAGTTCGTCCACAGACGCTTGTATAAAGCTGTATAAAAGTGTATAAAATGTGTTTATACACTATTATACAAGATTATACATAATTATACAAAAAACTGACTTCGTCTTCTTCCTTGCGTTTTTTCTGAAATTTAACTCAAATCTACTCTAAATCAGTTCAAATTTAAATTTTGAACTCCTTTTGATATTTTCAATCAATTGGAACAACACCCAATCCAAACAACTGACAAACTTAAAAAATCTTATTTTTGAAAGCCAAGCTTTGAATGGCCTTCAAAGGTGGAATGTTGAATCTTCAATTTTCTTACGTTACAACCAAGTGACACATGGGAGAAGTAGTAATGGCGGACTGCTCTTGAAGCATATGTAGAAGATGTGAAAAGAAAAGAGAGTGAAAGCAATGTTTGTGAGAACATAGATTTAACTCCATAGCTTTTAGAAGCAATGATTGTAAGAAAACAAATTTTAAATTTGCTAGTGCTTTTCAAAATATGTACAATATGGGCTAGATTGGGTAACTTAAAAATATGGGCCATTTTTTGTTATAGTGTGAAGCCAAGTGTATTTTCTTGTAATTCTTTCTTATCCATATATGGTCATATATATAGATGACTCAAGCCTTTCTTAACTCTTGCAAAAAAAGTCCTAAATTATAGACTATTAGCATCTTATACTGTAAACAATACTTTCCCGGTTGGCTCATGTTATCTTACACTATTTGACATGATACAAAATTTAAGAATGTTAATTTAACTTGACAATTAGTACATAAGTAGTAGTAGAAGAATTAAAATAATTAATAGTTGAAATTTTGGTTTAACAAACAAAACCGCAAATAGAAGTATTAATTTAACTAAAAAAATTGAATTCTTATATGACAATATATTATTGATGGAACAGGTAAACAAAACTATTGCAACAGTATCTTACAAAGTAGACAGAAAAAAAAACCCAAAAAAATAAAATAGCAAACTCATTCAATCAGCTAACTGTAAAAACAAATAGCTACTCTCAAGTAAATAGAGCAAAATATGCTAACTGTTAAAAAAAAATGATGGGATTCTTGATGTATACTTACTTGATCAACTGTAAGAGGCAAGGTGGTTTGTTGAAGGAGGTGGGTTTGTTGAAGCCAAGATCCAATGATTTGCTGAGAGAAAGGGTCAAGTCCAAGACCAGCACCAGTGGGGCTACCAGTTGGAGGTGCTGGAGTTTTCTCAATAACCACCACTTGCCAACCTGCTCTGATGAGAGCATGTGCACTGCATATACCTCCTATGCTTCCTCCAACTATAACTGCCTTTGGTTTTCCCATTTCCTTTCTTTCTCTTCCCTGCAAATGCCTTGTTTGCTCCTCCTACCCACTACTCTCAGCTGAAAATGTGGATATCTTGTGCACGTGTGAATAGTGGTAAAGTAATTTTCATTATTAATTTAATTAAAAGGTATTGAAGAAATATATAAAGTTTCAGTTTCCGTTTCCGCTAGAAATTAGAGATTACAACAATTAAGCACTAGTTAATATGGATTCACAATTGACGGTTCTTATTATCCAGCTCACACTGTTTGGACCAATTTCATATCAACTAGTATCTAAGAACGTGCATTGCACGTTAATAATAATATGTGATGGTTTAAATATTTATTTATATGAAAAAATAATAATATTTAAGTAATAAGAGTAATTTTATGTATAATAATACAACAATCATCTAAACGCCGAAAATATTATTACATTAACATAATACATGAATTTAAAATAAAAGGAAAGCATCAAAACTTACACAAATAATCAATTTTGTCATGGTAGATAATTATTATTATAGTTTAAAAGTATTTAATGTAATGGTATCTTAACGAACGCTTCTTTGTGAATAATATTTTTTTGTGTGTATGTTTCCTCCTAAGGCTTTGGTTGCTCTGCCTAAACCGAAACTCTTGATAACCTTCTTGAAAGTGCAACATACTGTTGTTCGTGCAAGAAAATATATTGCGATAAATATTGTCCAATATTTAGGATGTTTGTCCTTATATATTTATTATATTTGCAAAACATAAACATACTAAAAAATTATTTTCACATAAATTTAAAAGGATATTCCTTAGTTTCAGAAGACGAAAGTTGAATTCGGGATAAAATTATACTTAGAAGCACATTGACCAGTATCATAATTTTTGCATGTATGACGTTATTGTGAAAACTTCTATATACCATCTGTGCGCTATTACATAAGTCATTCGGTGTATCTAAGTTTTCAGTAGCATGACGAGCATATTTTTCTTCAAAATCAACCTATATATAATAGAAGATCAATTTAACTTAGTATATTATATATATATATATGGTGACACTAAAATACGTAAAAACAAATATTAACCTTGACAACAAACATATATGGTAGAAGGCCATTTGGTATTAAAGTATTTAAGTATAATCTTCTTGGTAGTAATTATTTGTATCATTTCTGCTGAGTCAAAAATTGAAAAATATTTTGTTTTTACTATAAAATTTTGCAATATCGACATATTCATTTCTGCTAGTTAAGATATCTGTTTAATTCTATCATGCGATTTGCACAATTTGCGTTTTAATCTAATGATAGAAATATTTCTCTTATTAAATGCACTACTATTACCATTGGAGTTGATAACCAAGCGTTCAGGAAGAACCAAATCATCTTTTATTGGATGCTCTTCTTCATTTTCGACACGAAGCAAGAAGACACTGAATCTTGATATGTTCTTACTTTATACTTCTTGTGAGTTGAATCTTTTTTATTTAAGTCCAAAAGTATAACTTTGGCAAGTTAGCTTTTACTGTCTATATTTTTTTCCGATTTTGGAACTACTTGTAGTACTTGACAGAAATCACCTCCCAAACCATTAATTTTCCACCAAATGGTTCATTAATATCCAATATATATCTAGAACTCCGGGCAATTATTTCGATCGTTTGACACTTAGCCATACGCACTTCATCCCATTTTATCAATTTTACTTTTCTTATAAATTTGTGATGGTTATTTAAATTATTTAAAGATGTATATCAAATCTAAAGTGGGTGGCCTCACAATAAAATCGTTATTGGTACATCACTTGCTATTATTGTTAACAGTGTCATGTCTCTTGATATGATATTTGCAAGTAATGCATGACATAGAAATATTATTTCGATTCCACTAGAGTCATCTACAAAGAATAATCATGTTATACCAGAGTCGACTCTATATAATATAGTCTTGAAAAATTATTCTTGTTTCGAATTTAGCTTTGATCGTGTTTCCTCAAACACTTATATACCATTTTGATTCTTAATAATATACTAACCTTTTAAATTTATGTTGTAATGCTCTTTTATGGAATAAATTTATCTACCTTAAAAAAATTTAGATTCTCTTGCTAAATAATTAATTAAAAGATCTAATTAGTTGGTTTTAATATAAAAATATTTTATTCTATGTTGATTCAGATCTTAATATTAGTTCACCTCTTGTTTTGAATATTTAATCTTAATTATAATTTTATCCACCATAAATTTTATTTTCAAAGACTAAAAGATTGATCTGACATTTCGCGTTTAGATCTTTATGTTTATAGAATCATTAGTGGTATTGACTCTTACCAACCATTTTTTCCCCTCTTTCTGACATATTTATATTCTTAAATATTTTCTTAATTGTTGTATAATAATTGGATATCTTTTTAATATTACACGAAAAATTGATTAAAAAATATTATTTAAGTAGGAACATAGTTCAAATATAATATAAAAATACATTATCGTGGGGGTATTTTTTTTCCCTCAATTTTAACTCTTTATGCAATCCATTTAATATTACCTTTTTGTGGGTATTGGACATTGTGAAGTGGTAATGTATTGCCAATATGGAGGATTTTTATGAAATTAATTTTATTAAACCTTCCTACATATTTATAATAAGAATTTAATAAATAGAATTTTATTAATTTTAAAATCTTAAATATTAAACATTAGCTTCTAAAGTCGACTAATATTCTTTATATTAAATTATGTATAATATAAAGTCGACTCTAGTTGAATATTAGTCGACTTTAGAATATTATAAAATATTAGTCGACTCTAGAATGTATAATCGAGATTCTATGTATATTAGTCGATTCTAGGAACAATAAAAAATAGTATTAGTTTAATATATTGTGTAGTATTATGTCCTAAAACTAATACGATTATAAGACTAATATCTAGAATTTCGGTTATATCCTTTTTTATGAGTTATTATGCTTAATATTCTAAGGTTATTTTTGTAAACCGACATCGTATTCATGCTTTTATAATAATATAGATATTTAGTATTTTATAACAACAACAACATATCCCGTCTTATCTCACACTGTGGGATTTGGGGAGAGTAGTGTATACGTAGATCTTGCCCCTATCTTGTAAGGATAGAGAGGTTGTTTCCAATAGACTCTCGGCTCATGAATGAATAAGCACCATATTAATGAAATATAGACAAGAAGAAACATCACCAAAAATCTATATAAAAGCAGAATAAAATAACAAGATAGTAAGGTGATCAACAATAGGAAAAAACCCCGGTTAGTTATAAAAACCTACTACCAGCAAAAAGCGAGACAACGTTGCAAATACTACTGTTATGAACACTCTAGATCATACTACCCTAATCATCGACCTTCATACCTTCTTATCAAAGGTCATGTCCTCGGTCAGTTGAAGCTGCGCCATGTCTTGCCTAGTCAACTCTTTCCACCTCTTCTTGTAGGGAAAAATATTACACCAGAAAATAACGATAATAATACTGCAATAATATTGTTTATAAGCAGATACACGAATTGGCTTGAGTTGTGCTTGGCACTATCCGAAGAAACTATTTCAGCAATGTGAAATATTTCCCCAAGATTAAACAAGCTCATTTCTATTTATTTAGAGGACACATGAATCAGCAAAATTAAATAATAAATCTAGCAATTTCAGAAGATTGGAGAGAAGAAATAATAATAATAATAATAATAATAATAATAATAATAATAATAATAATAATAATAATAATAATAATAATAATAATAATAATAGGTAATGATTGTAGGAAGAAAGTAATGATTAGCTAAGAAAAGTGTAAAAAGGACCAATTTTTGTTGGTGTCATACGGATGAACAAAAAGGCTATTTATAGAGGTACTTGGGGTCTTCTTAAATTGTCAAATGTTTAATTGCATGAAAGATGATTGTCACTTGTTAATGGCTTAGCCATTTGGCCACATGTCTTCATGTAAAAGGCCACATGCTAGATATTCATAGCCACTTGGCTTAGTAGAGCCATTTGTCAAATAATTTTTTAAAATAATGCCACATGTAAAAACTCTTGTCATGTATCAATTATCTAAAAGTATTTGGCTACAAGGCTTCATGCAAGAAGCCACTTGGAAGCAGATAGGACACTAGTAAAAATAAAAAGATACATGGCTTTTCAAAGTTTTGAAAATACTCCCACAATCCCCACATATTTTCAAAATTTATAGGTGAAGGATAAAGGAATGGAAGAATTGACTTGCTGGATTTGCATGGTCCAAATGTAATAGGTTTGGTATCCTCTAGACTATGAACCAAACTTAGACTAATAAAATTTAACTCACATAATTATTATTGAAATGTAATATTTTTATGAAGTATGAACCAATAATTCTTATTGTAGTCAAAGATTTTATTAATCACATTCTGACCCCCGGTAATTTTGTTGTTCAACGCGGTTCTGCGCCCAATAGGCCATGTGCATACCTGGTGATTCATGAGAGCTCTAAAGACTAGGCCAAATGGCCCACTCCACTATCATATAGGTGAATTCATCAAGTGTATACAACAACAACAACCTAGTAAAATTTTACTAGTGGGGTCTTGGGAGGGTAGTATGTACACAGACCTTACCCCTACCCTAAGGGGTAGAGAGGCTATTTTCGAAAGACCCTCGACTGAATTCATCAAGTGTATACTACTTTTAAATACACCATCCATAAGGACTATGAATTTCATTAAGAGTTATAACTCTGCCTCTTAATTAGTAGCAGTCAAGCACTCTCTTTTAGTGTACCAGTGCCAATACCGACTTGTTATTACCCATATGAACCTACTTCTTGGGATCTCGTATTACATAGGTTGGGTTACCATCTCTATTGACAACATGTCGGCCTTAATCCCATTTCTTTTTATGTTTGAAGAATTAATTTTCTTCCTACAGGTTTAGTCAGAGGATCGACCAAATTTATCTCTGACTTCACATAGTCAATGGAAATTATTCCATCTCTTAACGGTTGTTTTATAACATCATGTCTCAATTTCACGTGTCTACTTTTACAATCATAAGATTTGTTCTTTGCTATAGCTATTGCCGCTTGGCAATCACAGTGTATAAACACATAAAGCAATACGTCCTTTATT